TATTTCCGTTTTTAAATTGGAGGCTTGAGTGAGGGCATTATCGTATAAAAGGCTCACGTTCCCCATCATAGTTGTTACTAACCAACTTGCATAAAATTACATTTGCCTATAAACTTCTGAGGCATACATTTTTTTCTATTTTTATTTTTTCAAAAAACAAACCGGTATTTTTTAAATATTTACTTGAATGCAAGGCACATGTATTTTAAATAAAAATATTTTAATTTGTAAAGTATGTTTAAATAAACATATTTTAATCCGGTAATTTTATATATTTTTATTTTTTAAACATATAATTTACTTGAGTCTATAAACTTATGGAACAGAATGTATGACCAATTTTTATCTTCGTATAGCAAAACGATCAAGTTCATGATGATTCTAAAGTCTCCGATGATCAGTGATGATCGTTGTGTCGGTGCGGCGTGCCGGGAAAATATGCGGCGAAGCCAAATACCTCTCTAGAAATTGGTGGTAGGATAAGACGGGGAGGGGGAAACCCTCCGGAGGTTGTCCTTCAAAATTGGGGACAGACGGAAAAACGTCGCATTCTCACCTGTACGGTGCACAGTCTGATCGTCATTTCCTAGAAATGTTCATTTTTTTCAATAGCTTTTACAGTAATGAATTTAGGTACTTCAAAACTGAATGTGGATCTTTCAGTAGTGAACTGCCATGATATCCTTTGATTTGATAAGAATCTTTCTTTATTCATCCCTCAAGAATTTCTACAAAACTTGTATTTCAAACTTTGCTTTATTAAACATTTATGCATTATCAGAGTATGATATGTTACAAATTTTGATGTTTTGCAAAAAAATGTTTTAATTAGGCCCATCATAGTCCTCAATGATCCAATGTATAAGGATCTTTTATTCGATTTGGTGACAAAACTGTTAAGTATTTTTCTCTAGTATGATCAGTATAACACACAAACTAACGGAAGAAATTCAAAGTACAAAACCTCAGACAATATAAACTCAAATATAAATAGATCTAACAAAATATTAATCTCCAGTTTTTTTACTCCTATTTAAAGCATTTAAAAATAGGCAGAACTACAAATCAGGCACAAAAGTTTAATGTGGATGTCTGTATGAGAAAAATATTCAACATCATTTAATGCTTTTACTTAAACTATACAAACGCGAAACTTGAAATACCTTATTGCTGAAATATTTGTCTTTTAGAAAATTTAAAATGAAACATTGGAAGTGGCAAGTCAAAACTAAATCAAAACAAGTTAGAAATTAAAATTCTACATGTTTATTTCATTGAACAGAAATAACTAAACTAAGAGACTTATACTGAACACACGCAGAAAATACTATACACTGAGTATATCTAACATACGCAGTAAACGTACAATTAGTGATTAATCAATCAATCACGGAAAGCAACGCTTTTTTACTAATTAGAGATACTAATCCTGTACTCCAGAGTTTGCTCGTTCTATAATCTTGATTTATGCACTGCAGTCATCTTTAATGAAATGTCAGTGACTGCTTCTTTTATATCCGTAAATATATTAAAATAATACTTGTCAAAAGATATTCAGCTATACAATTCATCATGCATTTCATTTCTTTGTTTTGCTAGACTTTATTTTCATGCTATATTTATTTGCTCTAACTTCTGCAAGTTCCCTGAATTACGATGTTATTTTAATTATTTTCGGGCTCATTAAAGCTCAATCTGAAATTGAACGACTTCATTTATAGTATCTCCGTTAATTAAACGATTGTTTGTTTCTATATGCAGAACAAAAGTATCATAAACGTGATTCCAAAATGATTTATTCAAAAGGGTAACAAATGCAGCTTTCTAATTAAACATATTTCACGACACTAAGTACTAAATAATTATCTGTCGCATCTGCATGAAGGACCAAATGAGACAAAAAAGAGCAATCAACCAGCAGTTTAAGCAGCATTTGGAACTCCTTCCGCCAAAATAAGCGTCTGTGTATTTTTCTTAATGGTGCAATGAACATTTGCGTATTCATTATAATATCAGACTAGAAATGAATTGATAAAGGTGGAAATTATTGCTAACTTGATGCAAGGTTCCTGACCTGAGCTTCGGAATTTATATTTAGATATGGAAGTAATAAATTTATGACTACCATTAAAGTGCTAAAACATTAACTGCATGACTTTGTAAAGTTGTTACTTTACCATTTCCCAGCTGAATAAGTTTTCAGAAAACGGTCCCTAAACTGCGTATTTTTCATTCCAGGGTCTGAAAGAAAACTGCATTTTTAAAGAAGTTACATATAAAAAAACCATTCATGTGTTTAAAATGAAATACGTATACAGTGAGATAAAAATTTCAATAACCCATGTAATGCTGGCCTTTGGCACATAATAAGCCTATTTTACGTAAAATACCCCTGTGATGTTGGCTTGTTTTACACAAGCAGGTTGTAATAAGAAATTTCCATAGTTTTATATCTTTGTTTTTATTACACATCTGAAAATTGTATCTATAACTTAATATTTCATCGCGATACGGTCTATTTTAAACGAAGGAAAGGCACAGTAAGGATATATTTTAGTGTATTTTAAAACGTGCAACTAGCAAAAGTTAAAACATGCAAATTACAATAACTTAAAGCTATTTAATACGCTAATAATAAGACTAAGACTAAGACTAAGAGTTTGTTAATTTACAACAAAACTTTACTAAGCGAAACGTTTACCAAATGCAACACAATGCATTTGTAAAAAGGATTGTTTCACTACAAATTTAATAAGAAAAAAAACCGAACAGACTTAACAATAGGTCAGGTAACGCCATCCAGAAACAGGAAAAATAAACTAAACTAAATAATAGGGATAGTTAAAAAACTAAAACTTTAGAATTGAGGTACCCGTGGTACATATGGGCAAATCATGCTGAAAAAAAGAGGTTTGCCCCTATGACGTACGAACAAAATTATTAAGCCCTTAATAAATCATAATTGTTAAAGCAATAACTCACAATTGGCAAATAAACACGCTAATATAAAATTCAAAATTGTATAATGAAGCTACTTTAAAATGGTGAAAATTCTGCATTAAACTCTATCGATTTCCATGAAAATCTCATACACGTCCTTCTTTATTCAGAAGTAAAAGTACTTTTGGAAGATAAGAACAGTACAAATGAAATTTATAGAAAAGTCAATGGTGGGAGCAAAGGGAAAACAAAGTTATCGCCATCTATCGAGAAAAACAGTAAAGAAACATTAAAAGTTCACATTTTACAATTTGTAGAGTTATGACGAACTGGATTGGAATTAGCATCGTTAACTGAAAATGATAAACCTTCTATAATAATATTCTTCTTCTTCTTCCTTTCTTCTGATAAATCTATGAATGTCAGTAGCTAAATCCAGTTTATCTACGGGTAAAGCTTAATGCTTAACTTCGTTGCACCAATATCAAAATTAAGTTTAAGTTGGGAAGTATGATTAGCTGTCGAAGATATTTTTGTTTCTTTTTTTTCCTCGGACATATGATTCGGGTTCCTTCAGGCGAAATTTTAACCCTCCTGTCCGTGCTGTCTTCTGTATATTTGGCGTAAATAAAAGAATATTAAAATTTAGTTTGAAATATAAACAAATGCACAAATCTTTCGCTTTCCTAAACACAAATCTTGTCTACAAAGTCCTATTCATGATATTTTCATTTTGAATACCACTGGAGCTCAACTAAAAAGCTATTAATTTTTAAAGGAGTTCTGTAGTTTGTTTCTTCAGTTCGTTTTCTTTTCTATTTCCTTTCTCCTCTCCTTTGCATAAAATCATAATATAAAATATCAAAATATTGTGCATTACTATATGGATTATTATTGTGCATTACTTGTATTACTGTTCGAATTAAATATTTTAAACAATTTGTATATATGTCATATTGCAATTTCTACATCAATATTTTGTCATCTGCATTCAATTTTATTTTGGATGTCGATGCAACACACGATTTGAAACAAACAGAAGAAACATAATTTTAAAGCTTGGGATAAAGTTTATTTTATTTTTTCTCACGTTATATATGTGTGTTTAATTACTAAGGTTTTGTAACAAGATTTATTTTGTAACAAGTCTTTTGTGTTGAAAAATTTCAGTACGTAGTACAGATAACATTTTGCGTGAGCCACTTTCTAATGCTAATGAGCAACATGCTTTTATAATATAAAAATAAATAAAATACGTTACGCATGTGGCTTGGCAATACTGTGTTCTCGTGTTTCTGATATAAAGATTTTATCGCTAACCAAAAATGATAGCATTTTTTTCGGTATTAATACAATATATACAATACACACGCACACGTATAAATGTTATATACGTAGAATCGGAACTTACTGTCTAGGAATATGATGTTTGTAAACTTACTTCTTAGGTGGCTGTCTAGGGGCTAAAAAACTAGTCCGATTTACAAATAACTTGAATATTTAATGAAACATGAATAGTTGCAACAAACTACAAGGTAATTACCTACGTAGAAGGAAAATAGGTGAGATTATTTACAGATGAAGAGAAGGAATCATCTTTACATTCAAACATCTTTTAATCGCGTCATCGTCTTAATGGCGGAATCGTCTGCCTTCTATCATCGGAAAAGTAAAAGATTTATTTTCACAGCTTGTCGCGTCATCTGATTATAATGAACGATGCCATCCCACATATATATATATATATGTTTATGTGTAGAATAGATAGAGATAGCGATAGATAAATAGATAGACAGATAGAGATAGATAGATAGATAGATAGATAGATAGATAGAGATAAAGATAAATAGATAGATAGATAGATTTACACTTCAACCTATAAATATTATTTTGAATGCTTCTTCTGAAAGCTAAATAGTTCAAACAGTATTTGTGAAAAGCTATATGCGTCTGATGTGTGTGTCTTATGCGTCATATTTTATATTACGATCTCTTCAGCGTTTCTTATAATATGTTACAAGCACGTGATGACATATCTAACGCGGTTTCTTTTATTCTAGCCATTTGTCAGAGAAACCATCGATCAAGAAAAGGAATCCACTGCTACGTGCGAAAACGTTGCCTGCCATCATATCTCCGAGCCTCAGCATCGTTCAAGCACCCCTCGATCCTCAAACCCGATCGAAGATTCCGACAATCACGCATAGTAAGTACATGTTCTTTGTGTGCTTCAGAATATATAAGGTTAAACCGCATGCGTAACTTCCGCCTTTCTTTCAGTTTTTTTCATGACCAAGAGAATAGAACGCATTTCTTTATACTCGTACAGATTAAATGTCAGATATTTCATCGAGAATAAAACTGGATGAGGAGAGAAGGGAATAACTCATGTAAAATTGTGTCTGTGAAGACGATAATAATAACGATCAAAGAAATAAGATATAATTCGTGGATTCGGGCATTAATTTTAATTATTAACCTTCCAGCAAGCGCGCTTGGCGAATTTACATAAGCACGCGCGCTTGGCGATTTTACATGAGGACGCGCAACTTGTATTTTTTACTACATCCGTTATTTTACTGTTTTTGGCACGGAAAACGACAGAAATGAGGGAATATTGATACTAAATCTGTTAAGAAATAAAATATTAATCTTATTATTGCAAAATAAAAATGATATCACATTCAAATATAAGTAAATTATTTTTAAGTTCTTATGTTAATGAGATGGAAATGCAATGATGTATTTCATTACAAAAATTTTTAATTTATTTTTTAATAATTATATTTTAAAATCAAAGCTAATTTTAATATTCATCAAAGACAAGTATAGACAATAAAAAGGAAAACATCTTGGTAGGAAAAAAAGTAAGTTTAGCATTACTTACTTCTGCAAGGAAATTTACTTCTTACTGGTTACAAAAACGCATTTTTAACTAAATTTAATGTTTTTATTTATTTCTAAAAATAGAAAGAATAGAAAATAAGGAATGGAAATCGCTATTGTTCCTCCCATCCAAAGGTAATCCTTGTCTTCCTTTTCTTCATCGGATAATTCTTGAAGAATCCAAGCAAAATCAGCTGGTTGCACATATTGTTTTTGCTATGAAAACCGATACAAAATTTACAGAGCAAAATGTATTCAAATTAAAATAATACACGGCAATTAATAACACAAAATTACAAAATACTTGAGAAAACAAATATTTTCAGAAATTTAAAACACGACCACGCGCGTCTCGTAACTTTTATGAGAAGGCTGCCATGTAGCACAAAAGCCCAGTTAAAAAAAAAGTCAAATGACTTCCTGTGGCTCATTCTATGATGTGGGGAAGGGTAGAAAGGATGAATAGAAATAACCTTCAGACGTCTCAACCTCGATATGCGAAAAATGTGCATTAAAAACTGAATTTATCGTAAATTTTACGCATACGCAAGTGCTGGAAGGTTATGATTCTAAAAATGCGAAAAATAGAAATTGAGAAGGTGAGCATTTAGAATTGCATTAGTACTAAATGAAGTTATTATATGTCACGTATATCTCAACATTCACAGATTAAACAGCCTGGATGAAAAATAAAACTTGGAACTTTGAAGAAATAACTATTTTTACGACTGAAAATAATAGACTACAAGTACTTTAATAGGAAACAAGAGATGGTGTAATGCAAATTCACTTTATTCACTATATTTTAATTCAAGAGATTCACTATATTGTAGTGTAAATTATAGTATTAATTTACATAGTGAATTAAAAGAATCGCTGAGCGCGGAAAGGCAAACATTTAATTATCACTTGAATTCTAGACCATATCTGTATAAACAGGCTAATTCTCAATTAACTCAGTCCACTGAGCAGCTTCCCATTTATATCACAGATCAAGGTATTTCCAGAATTTTCTAGATCTATTTGTTCTGAGGTATCAAAAAATGTTTTTATAAACATCCGAGAAGGAACCAGAATGTTGATAAATGGTTAAATATATCATTAAGACTTAGCTAATTTTAATTCTGGTTCTTATTACTCGTAAATAATACTCATTCCAAAGTCCATTTTCTCAAATTTTCAAGAACTATGATATAATAAACATACAAATACAATAAAAAGACACAATTAATGATTACTAAAAATGCATAATAAATAATGCATAATATATTCGTAAAAGTGTACCATGTAAATAAAATAAATAAAATTAAATATTGAGACAAACGAAATATGCAATAAAAATGTTAACATTCTCAGAAAATGTGGTGAATAAATAAATAAGGAGAAAAGTATATGCAACATTGCAAAATATTCAATAATAAAGTACAAAATGACCTTAAAATGTCCTAAAAGAATCCCCAGCAATCAAATCTGCTGTAATACAAAATATAGAAACCCAATTTACGGAAAGATACAAGGAAGTAAATACAAATGTGCACACGAAGTGAGATATGAATTTCTACTGAATATTTAATAATGCTTCAATGAAACAAAACGAATAATCCATACAGAATAAATAAAGTGAGTATAATTTTTGCGCTGAACTATGTAAATATTAAATCCTTACATTTTCCGTGTATTCGTTTTCATAGTGCCCATAGAAACATTTTGAACTTTTTTCAAAACTTCAGTTTAAACCTTGTTAGGAAACAATACTTGTAATTATTAATTAGAATTGATACTCGTCATCGATAATTTCTACCAGATATTATCCATTAGAGGATCATATAAACAATAATTAATCGCAATTCTTTTTAACATGTCTCAGTTTTTAAATCCTTAAATCAGACACAAATTAACAACACAAACTGACTTAAGAGCATCTCGTTTTAGCTAAAGAAAATTTAAAGTAAGAAAACCACTTTTTTTAATAAGGATTATGCTGGTGATCTTTTGATTGACAGAGATAATGGCCCTGAAAAATTTATCTCTCAAGCAGACAACAGTGACTGCATCTGAATTAAATTAGCATTTTTGCTTACTGCTTGCTGTACGGAAGAACTCTAAAAGGTGTGTTTAAAACAATACATCATATGACATTATCATATGACAGATTTTTGTTGCCAGTCGATATCCGCTCCCAAAACAATACTTTCATTAATCATCTTTTAGTATCAAATTTGGCATCTTACGAAATATTCCCTATTTTCTGTTTCTGCTTCTCAGTAACAGCTCACTTTAAATGACATACATTTCCAAGCTTTAAATAAAATTAGAATAATATATTATGAGATAGAAACAACTTTCCAGGAGTTGTCTTCAACAACATTAGACAGAAGTTCTATAAATATACAAAGAGATACTGCTTAAAGAAGAACGTAATTCAAAATGCTGATGAAATATCTTTTGTCAAGCATTAAGCGTTTTTAAGCTCAGTTTAATTCAATTTATTTATTTACTTTTAATACAATCCTTAATTTTTGTAGAAATATTTAATATATGTTCGAAGATTAAACTTGTCTTCGTAACATTATTAAATGTCGCTAAAACTACGTGCGAACGGTATGCATATGAAAAGATAAAATAATTAGTGAAAATAAACAAATGCTAGATGAATATCAATTTAGATATGATATAATGTATTTTATTACATGCAGGGGGATACATCTAACTATACTTTTTTATTTGCTACGTATATGTCAAGATTACAAGATAAAATTAAAAGATATAAATAAAGTTTGCCGTCGAATCTTTAATTTATAAGTATTTTAAAATACTACAGTAACTTGAATAAGCAATTATTGCATTCATATATATATACATATATAGAGAGAGAGTGTGTGTCCCATGAAATAGTTTTTATATTTAAATTGTTTAGTTATTTCATACTTACAGTTATCGTTTTACATTCAAATATGCTAAGCTGAATACTTTTTTCATAAATGTTAAACGAGTTAGTTAAATTTTAGTTTCTAATGTCTCTTTTAACGTTTTTATCTTAGTAATGCTTTTAAGAATACTTTTATTTCTCCCTGAAATTTAATCGATTTTGTTTCTAATTAATAAATTGGAATTTTTACTAGGGAGAGAAAAATTCTTAAGATTATTTATAAAATTAGACGATGACATTCGATTCAACATTTAATTAGATTTCGAAAAGAATGTTTGGGATTAGACGGTAGCATATGCAGTAAGTGAAATAAGAGATTATTAACCTAATTTCCATTAGTGTTATTATTTAAATCCATATTATAATCCATAATCTATATTATTTAAATTTTAATGAGCAAAGAAGCAGTCAATGAGGTAAGAAGTAAGTACGACTGTACTAAGAGTAATAAATTAGCGTAAAGTGCTGCTAAATTTAAATGAAGTTTAAAAGTAAGGTGTAATCCAACTCATCAGCAAGAAGACATGAATTCTACCAAGTATCAGAAGAGAAGGTGTCAGCATAATAATAAATGAAAAACAGCAAAATAAAGATCTATACTAAGATATTGATTTGAATGTAGGAATTAAAAATTAAGAAAGTAAATTTGCAAAGATTAATATCCCTTGTTTGAAGCTTAAAAACAGAACTAAGCTTCCGAGTCTCAGTAAATTAGTCGGAACGAAATTTGTTTTGGCTATTTAATTAATCTACCGGGCATGGAGTTTCCTTGACAAGTTTTGTTTTGAAGCTCCAAACGAGGGAGATTAATCATTGCAAAATTACTTTCTCAATTTTTAATTTCTATATTCAGATCAATATCTTAGTACCTTAGATTTTTACTTTGCTGTTTTTTATTTAATATAATACATGGTAGAATTCATGTCTTGTTGCTGATGAGTTCTATTACACCTTACTTTTAAACTTCATTTAAATTTTAATCATATATATATGATTAAAATTAAAATATCATAAATTTATGCATCAAAGCAGAACCAAAGGGAATTGGTATAACAAGTGTAAACAATTTCTGCACAGATAGGAAGAATATTTAAAAAAAATTTTTGGTAATTTAAATTAAATAAATTAAAAGCCAGAATAATTTCAAGAAACAAAAAGGATTTTTGAACAAAAAGGATTTTTGTTTAATAAACACTTAAATAAATTTTTTAATGAAAAAAAAATAATGGATTAAATAAACATTTTTAAAATTCAAGAAATGGGAATAAAGAAAACCAAAAAATAAAAAAGGATAATTTTTATATTTCCCCAGACATCTTCATTTGGAGGGGATGTCTTGTAGAGATATTAGATTATTTCGAAGCAAGAGAGAGGAAAAATGAGCAATGCTC